AACTCAAGTGACAACACATGCTGGAGAGGTTGTGGAGAAAGAGGAACCCTTCTCCACTGCTGGTGGGAATGTAAACTTGTATAACCACTCTGGAAAGCAATCTAGCGCTTTCTCAGACAACTAGGAATAGCACTTCCTCAAGATCCAGCTATACCACTCCTAGGCATATATCCAAAAGAGGCTCAAGTACACAAAAAGGACATTTGCTCAACCATGTTTGTAGCAGCTTTATTTGTAATAGCCAGAAGCTGGAAACAACCCAGATGCCCCTCAACTGAAGAATGGATGCAGAAATTGTGGTACATCTATACAATGAATATTACTCAGCAATGAAAAATAAGGAAATCATGAAATTTGCAGGTAAATGGTGGGACCTGGAAAGGATCATCCTGAGTGAGGTGTCCCAGGAGCAAAAAGACACACACGGTATATACTCACTCATATAGGCATACAACGTAGGACAAATCCACTAAAATCTATGTATCTAAAGAAACCAAGCAAGAGAGAGGACCCTAACTAAAATGTTCAATCCCCACCTGAAAGGCAAAGAGGATGGACATCAGAAGAAGAAGAAAACAGGAAACAACGTAGAAACCTGCTACAGAAGGCCTCTGAAAGCCAGAAGAAGAAAACAGGAAACAAACTAGGAACCTACCACAGAGGGCCTCTGAAAGCCTCTGCCCTGCAGACTATCAAAGCAGATGCTGAGCCTGATGGCCAACTGTCGGGCAGAGTCAATGGAATTTTATGTAAGAAATGGGAAATAGTAAGAGCTGGAGAGGACAGGAACTCCACAAGGAGAGCAACAGAACAAGATAATTTGAACACAGGGAACTTCCCAGAGACTCATACTCCAACCAAAGACTATTCATGGAGATAACCTAGAACCCCTGCACAGATGTAGCCCATGGCAGGTCAGTGTCCAAGTGGGTTACCTAGTAATGGGAAGAGGGACTGCCTCTGACATAATCTGATTGGCCTGCTCTTTGATCACCTCCCCCTGAAGGGGAAGCAGCCCTACCAGGCCACAGAAGATGAAAATGCAGCCACTTTTGATGAGAACTGATAGACTAAGATCAGAAAGGAGAGGAGAACCTCCCCTATGAGTGGACTTGGGGAGAGGGAGGGTGGGATCGGGAGGGGAGGAGGGAAGGGCTTATGGGGGGATACAAAATGAATAAAGTGTAATTAATAAAAAATTTAAAAAAAATGGATGTAACCAGAAAAAAAAAAAAAAGGAAATGGAGACTTGACTGTAAACATCACTTTCTAGATTAATCTAAACTGAGTAGAAGATAGTACAGGATCTGTCTCTATTAAGAATTTTGGCAGATGAGGATAGAGGATGATCCCATAATAAAGGCAAACTACCTGAGCACAGAGTCCAGCTGTGAAAAGTGTGATTTTTCAGGACGTGTCAGCTGAAAGTGAGGTCAGGGGATGGATACTGGAAGAGACAAAGCAAGAAAGCAGGAGAGTTTGTAGAGACAGTGGGAAACTTCCAGAATAAGGATGTGACTTCTGAGAAGCCTTGGGGCTTACTGACGGATCAGACCATGACACTCAGATTGTTTTTCCTCAAAATTGCAGTTACAGTTTATCACCCTGTGCCTACGTCCATAAAATCTACATGAAATGAATGCTTACGAGGTAATGTAGTCACCTAAATTAATATGAAGACTTTCCAAAGTGTAAGCTCTATTCAAAGTCAAATGACAAACACCTTCACAGCATGAATTCACTAAAGCAAGCAAAATGAGCCTTACTGCTCAGCAAATAACTCTGGCACATAAACTACAGAGAGAAGAAAGCAATGGGGTGATTATGACCACACCCTTACCCACACTGTGAGCCACAGGGGGTGGGGGCAGCTACTGTCCTCCTGCCCAGAGTCAACACGTATGCCCTGGACAAGCAGCAAGGTGCACTTGACCACAGGATCCTGCTCACATCACACATTAGAAGTTCTAAGTGGATTCTAGCTGGCACTGCCCGAAGCTTGAAAGAATGAATGGCTCCCCATATGGTTAAGAAGCCGACTCTAAAATAGTCCTCATACTCCGCAAATTACAAAAGTACGGGCTGTTTTCTACATGCAGTTCTGGTATATGTTCTCTTTCAAAAACAGCCCAGATATTGCAATATTTCAAATTTTTAAAAAAGCAGAAACCCAAGCCTCTGATCAGTATTAAAATGAATCTTCTTAGAAAGTCTTACAATTGTACTCTGATTGCTGTTACATAATTAACTTTAGAATTAAGAAGTAAAAAATATATCATAATCCTCCTGAGTTAAAAACTAAAAATGAAACTAGTTTCAAACTGTCATAAACCTTATGACAAAAATGTAAAATTCCACTGTTTAATATTAGTCTTCCTGTAGTATTTTACTTTTTTGGTCCACACCTTTTATACAGTCCGAATTAAAGGAGGAAAAGAAAAGTCTACTGTTGTACAAGAGGCTTGAGCAATGAAATACAGGAGAATCTAATCAAATGTGCACTCACAGCTCTCTAGACAGTAGTGCGTACCATCGAGGGAGAAAGAACAGAAAAGCTAATAAAAATTTTGTCTTAACTTTACAAGAGCAGTAGTAATGGAAAAAATAATAACAAAAAATATATAAATTTCATATTCTAAACCTTAAACACACAGGGATTCATGCTAAACTAAAAATGAGACCACACATAACAGGCTCTGTCCGGGCTCCTCGAAACAAGGAAAAGGAGAGCCATGCTAAGAACACACGCTGCTCACCCCTCCGTCGGAATTGGAGTGTGACACTTAGGAAGGCTGACTTCTTCAGCTCTCTGTTTAGGTCCAGATTTCCATTAGCATTACAAAAGTGAGGGAGTCAGTGGGCTACCCAGATGTTGCCATATCACCCCCATTATTCAGGCTGATGGTGTGGAACAGAACAAAGGAAGGTTGTCAACCCTGAGCTGGGGCTGTCCTAACCCATCTTTTAAAATGCTATGGAGAGCAGGAACATTTCTCAAAGACTTAATAAGCAATAACGCCTATAAGCTCTTGTCAGGTACTCTTTCTTTCACTGTCTCACACCATCAGTCTGAAGGCAGAGAGGAGGAAAAAGGGAAGCCTCCTCCCTTCCCCCATATGCCAGGAGGCTGCCAGAGCCTGGGATGACACTTGCCTATTTCCAGCAGGGAAAGGGGTCCACCCACACAGGAGCAACAGCAGGAGGCAGAAACGAAAGGACCGGTGTGAAAAGAAATGCAGAACCGTCTCTATGATTTTGAAATTTAGACTGTGTGGCAGCCTAGAGTCTCATAAGAAAACAATTACTTTCATTTCTGCCTCCTACTGCCACCCCGACCTTTCTTGGTTGGCTAGTCAGTAGGAGGCAAAGAAGAAAAAAAAAAAAGATGGATTTTTTTTTCTTTGAAGCACAGGACCCGTCAAAACTGTGAACTTCAAAATCACAACATGAACTACCTAATTTTTAGAGGTGTTCTTTTATTGTCTTTGCTAGCAATGGTGCAATATGAAACAGTGGTATCTCACCAGAGGTATGAGATGGTACTGAGCTAGGTGTTTCTAACACCATTTGCTTATAACAATCTTGATCCTGTATCTTAGGACCATTGCAAAGTGCCAATCATGAGAGCAAATGTGTCCTTCCTTTAAACGGCTTTTCTCAATACAGAGAATTCAAGTACACAGAACGAAGCAATACCATGTGAAAGTCTATTGAGAACTAATTTAAACATGGTCCTTTTAAGAACATCCTGGTTCTTTTCAACTCTGCATCTAACTGAGCCCCTCTACAGGTAAAATGAGAGGTCCACAGAGTGTCCAAAATACTGTAGCCTTTCCCAGAAGGTTTTAGCTTAATATGGAAAGATATAAGAAAACAAAACCAAGTTAGTAAAGATTTGGAAAATACCAGAAGAGAGAGTGAGAAAAACCACCTGTTTCCAGGACCTATGGCAGTGCTGGTGCTTTAGACAGTCCTGGAAGGATGCACCAAACTTTAAAAGCTAGCGAGTAGGAAGGAAGGTAGAAATGAGTGACTTCACAGAAGTAGAAGAGACAGTTTTCTCTAGGCAGTATTTCTGAGTTATGCTTGTGGGCGGGTCAACAGATGTATTGCAATAATCGGTAACCATAGATTTAGTAAGTTCGAAGACCAATATGGGCACCTCACATCCTCACTTTGAGATTCAGTGCACACAGCACAGGGAAGTCTGAGGAGACATTGCCACAACCCAACCCACTAGTGTTCAGTTGAAAGAACTCCTACTGAGTCCTCAACACTGAGAAAAACCTCCGGGCAGAATTGAGAAAAGACCAGCAGAGTGTAAGTGGGGCCTGTTGTAGAAGACCTCTCAAACAACAGGCTGAGAACAGCCTGCGTGAAAGATAATAAATAAATAAATAAATAAATAAATAAATAAATAAATAAATAAATAAATAGATAAATACATAAATAAGTAAACAAACAAACAAATAAGTGAGGCCTATTGTTTTAACCATCCATTGCATGTGGGTCCTTGTGGGATGCCTAACAGCAAAGGCAGGGAAAGTCTGGAGTGAATTTCAATATAGTATGTTCACATGGTTTTATCAAAACACCCCTTCTACTTTATTTTACATTATAAGAAGGAATAATATAACAAAAGAAATAACAGTTCCAGCCAGAGAGAGAGAAAGAGAGAGAGAAAAAAATGGAAGTCAAGAGTAGCCAGCCAAAGCAGAAGTGGGTACAAAATGCAGAGACATGCCTCAGTCCACCTTTTCCTTCCACCTAGGACTAGCAGAGACCCTCACGGCCAAGAAGTCACTGCCATGAAGTAAGAAGCCAGGGCTGGCCTCCTGAGATGCTCTCCATGAAAACCAAACATCATGAAGCACTTAGGAGTCAGTAATTCCAACTACAACTTGGAAATTAGAAATGAACACTTTGCAGCACCTTTCCTGCAGATGCAGATTTACTCACACAAATTTAACAGAGAGATATACTTATCCCACTAAAATTACCTGTGGCTGGAACTGAGGAACAGGTGGTCCTTGCATTCCTTGTGATTGTTCATCCATTGTCTGACTCAACAGACTTCAGAATTCTGCAAAACAGTAAAGTTGAAATTTAAATTACGCAATCATTGCCAATTCACAGCACTTCCACATGCATCCAAATATGACAGATTTGTATGATGCTTCAGAACAACTCATTAAAATATTCTCCACTTCTATCTTTGACACTTGCTGAATCCAAGCTCTGTTTAGCTCCCATAATCACACACTACCGCGCCATTTCCACTTCTCCAGCAGTTCAGGTCAAGGACATCCCCTTTGGCCCATGCTTCAGAGAAGAGTAACAGCATGCTGAGCTTCCCAGACTCCTGCTCAGTGCCTGGCATCTGTAAAATGTATCTTTTCTTTACATTTAAAAATACCCATACTTCTAACACTTTCATTCTTTTATTTTAAATTTGAAGTTAATATACCCTTTAAAGAGGAGTAACAATATTCTTGATACAGGTCATTTGCATTGCGAGTTTGATCTTCAGCCACATGATTTCTCTAAAAGCTTCTCAGTGGTGAACAGAAATTCATCATTTTGATGCAGTCTAAGTGACCATGTAGATACAGACACACAATCAGCGCTCTGTATTTACAGGGATGTGTGGGTTTGGAATACATATAAATATGTCTTGGTATTATTCCTTGAATAATACAGCAACACTTTACAGAACCTTCAGCTGAATTAGATGTAAGTATTTAGAGTTCATGGGAAGATATTTGTAGGTTACATGAAGCTATATAACAGCTTGAAATACATACACCCTAATATATATAAGGTTTATCAGAGTGCCATCAGATTTTGGTACCCACAGCAAAACAGAAGACTCTAAAACCAATTACCCACAAGTATAAAAGGAGCCTGTATCTCTTTCAGCTTTCCTTTCCTTTCTGTTGAGAGACCCATTTGTCTATGTTTAACCCTGTCAAAAAGCATCTAAACTTCTTGTACTGCAGTAGGTGCATAGATACTACCATATATAATACAAAAATACGGTATTAACTAGCAATGCTTTATTATAAGATAATTTGAATAGCTGAAACGGGGTCTCCCTACATAGCCTTGGCTGTCCTGGAACTCTCTCTGTAGATCCAGCTGGCCTTGAACTCAAAGAGATCCACCTGCCTCTGCGTTTTGATGGGATCAAAGCTGTGTGGCACTATACATGGATTACTACAAAATTCTGCTAATCGGCATGGGATAGACACCTGTGAGTAATCGCACTTGGGAAGCTCAGGCGGAAGGGCCACTGTCAGTTCCAGGCCAGATGGGGCTACATGGTGAGGAGCAGTCTCAAAACACCAAAATAAAAGTCTTCGTTCAGCTTAATTACATATTGAACTTTAATATTAACTTCAGAATCTGTTTGGTTCCATTTTTAAAAATGTTTTTCATTGAGATATAATAATTCTGTAGTTAAATTTAAGGAAAAATTTAACTACTAAAAAATTTGAGAAGTCTTCAAACTTGTGAACATGGAATATTTAATTTCTTGCAAAGCTAGTTTTCAGTTTCAATACACTGGTTTTTAACACCTTTCTCTATGTTATCTCCAAAGTATCCTTTACTTTTACTACATTGTAAAAACTGAATATTTTCATTCAGTTTTCTAAATTTATTCTGTAGGCTAAAACTAACTGTACTGAATAAAACCATATAAACTTGTAACCCACCTTAGTAAACCTAAATGCCTTTTAAAATAGATTCTTGCCTTATTGCGATGACCAGACCTTCCAGTACAATGAACAGACATGGAACCAAATATCTTTTCATGTTGCTCACTTTAGGGGAAAGATAGTAATAGTTTTGATAGTGTCTGACCGTTCAGTAAAATATTATCCATTTATTTTTTGTGTGTGTGCATACTTTGCCTTTACATATGTATATACACCACATGTGTGTAGTGCCTGTGTAAGCCAGAAAAGAGTATCAGATTCCCTGAGACTGAAGTTATAAATGGGAGTGAGCTGCCATGTGGGTGTGGGAATTGAACTCAGGTCTCGTAGAAGAGCTTAGCTACTGAGCCAGCTCTCCAGCCCAAAGCTGTTCATTTTTAATATGGACCTTGATCTACTTGTTAAGAATAATGTAATTATTCTCAATGTTGTCTTTGATTTTATATATTATTGAATTTGAGGAGGGGAAAAATAAAAATAAAGATCAAGTCCAACACTGAAATCAGCATTTCACATTTGCTGCCCACAAAAGGTTTCTTAAGACATCCACAAAGAAACACTTCTTGGTCAAAGCTCTCTATGAAACCTTGTTATATTAAACTCTCTCTGAGCATTAGAGAAAATATTAGCAAACTGATATTAATTTGGGGTAATTTAACCCTGAAAAGTATTACATAATATTTTTGTTATCCCACAGCCTGACTGAACCAGGAATACACTGAGAAATTCTGAGTTACAACAAAGTGCTCTTACCATACACACTGATACATGGCACCATCTAAGTAATACAAGTCGGGGAGAACAAACAAAGCCAAAGAAAAAGGAGCTTAGAACAATGACAACCATAAAGTGACTTAATCAAAGAGTATTCAGTTGAAAATAAAAATCTACCTGATTATTAAGCTTCAGCACCCAAGCAAAAAGAACAAAAAGCAATGCGAGTTTCTTTCCTAAGATATGATATGGCTCATTGTGTCACTAGGTGCTTTAACTTCGTGTACACTGTGTGTGTGTATGCATGTTACAGTCTATGAGCCGGGTGTGTGTGCTCCACACCAAGCCTATGGAGACCAAAGGACAACCATGGGTATGGGTCCTCACCCTCTATCTTGTTTGAGACAAGGTGTTTGCCAAGTTCGTTGGCCCAAAGCTCTTCTCTCTCCCCTCTCCTGCAGTGAGAGCTCTGGGGATCTGAATTCAGGTCTTCACACTGTGCAGCAAGGGCTTTACCCACTTGGCCTTCTCCCCGGCTATTTTGCCTTTTAACTAATCCTGCAAAACATATTTTAATGCCTGAAGTATGTTTAACATACGTTTGATCTTCTAGATTACAAAGTCCAAGTTTCAGATAGCTATCTGTGTACACTGCACTTCTGATGTTTGGTTTAATATCTGGCATAAGCAGGTACCTGAATGGATATCTAATGAATGAATCCACATGTGCTTGTCAAAAAGATACCAAGTGATTATTGATACCAATTAAGTATAAAGTTAGTGATAAAAAACATCATCAAATTCAACTAATTTGTAGTTAATCTTTAAACCACAATGTTATTCATAGACGGTGTTGGTTGTTATATTTTAAAGGATGAACAGGAAAAATTAACCAGGTTTAAATGGAGCCAGAGAAAGAAAATAACGTATCAGTGAACTAGGGGAGGGGCATAGGAAGGAGAAAAGGGAGGAAGGGTGGTATTGGGAGGAGATGAGGGAGGGGGGCCACAGCTGGAATACAATATGAATAAATTATAATAAATAATGATAATTAATAAAAAAGAAAAAAAAGAATTACTAAATAACTATTATGGAATCGTTTTTTCACTGATTAAATAAGTTAAATATTAAATATTTTAAAGCAAATAGTTTTCCTCAATGTGTAATGCTTTAGACAATACTAGAAGTTAATAATAGAATTTGTCTATGAAACTTATATGGCACATGAAATAAAATGCTCAGAATTTAAAAAAAATCAAAATTCAAAACAAACAAACAACTGCAGCCTGTCTTGTATTCAAATTAAGGTTGGTGAGTGATGGACCTAGGTCATGGTAGTTCAGGCCTTAATCTCAGCACTCTAGAGACAGAAACAGGAAGACCTACAGAATGGTCTACACAGTACGTTCCAGACCAACCAAGGCTACACAATAAGACTTTGATTTCAACAAATATAAAATAAAGTTTCCTATCCTTGAAAAGCAATACAACAAGCAAGAAGGCCAGTTCACAGGCTAATGCAAATCCATGTAAGAGACAGGATGAGCTTCAGCAATGCCCTCCCTTATCTCAAAAGCATTCCACACTACTGACCAAGCAATATGGACTCTATCTTCTGTGACCTCAAACCTCCTCTCCTCTCCTCTCCTCTCCCCTCCTCCCTCCTCTTTCTCCTCTGCTCCCCTCCCCTCATCCCTCCCCTCCCCTCTCCTCTCCTCTCCTCCTCTTCTGCAGACTGTGTCACAGCTATCATTACTCTCTATCTTTAAACACTGGATTACTCCAAAACTGGAAACTTCTATTAAAACTACACTTAATCCTCAAATCAGCCTATGGCTTTGCTTTTGTTTGTGTTTAATAAACCATAAAAAAAATGGTCATGGAGATCTCAGTAAATTCCTGAACTCTTGAATATGACCCAAATGAGACAACTATTAAATCTGTATCTTCACAACGATGTTGAGCTATCACCGTCTATAGCCTGGTGCCCACCTTGTCATGTCCAAAACTAAGGATTCCAACTTTCATGTCCCTGTATCTCTTCTGTCTTCGTATGTATGACAATCTACTCACTAATTCCAGCCCCACAATTTTTAAACATTTGTATCTTTGGACTTCATCTCCTGCTGATCTTAAAATCCATTTGTTTATGTCCATTACATATGCTTGTATTCTAGATACTTAAAAGAAAAATGGTAAATAAATGCTAACTTATTTATAAACTATTCTGTTTATATAACATACTCTGTTTTTATGTAAAACATTTTTATGAAAAATTATTACAATTTTCAAAAACTTAGTCACAAGACCAGCATTACTTTACACTGTACAAAGGTCTCTGATGCCCATAATTGTAGATGTAGCTTCTGTACAGTCTTATGAAGTGCTATTCAGATATGTAAAACTAGACAAACGACATATAGCTGACCTTCTATACATGTGTGGTTGAAAAGAGAAGAGTGTTTTAATAGCCATTTCTTATTGTTCTGGGTAGTCATCTTTGATACAAAACCCAGCAGAAGATAAACTCATGGATTCTGCACTCTAATCAATGAACTTTTATTCTCTGAAAATCTAGTTGTCCACCTTGGCCTTGGAGTAGATCTTTGACTCATATATTTTTGTAACATTTTAACATCTGGAAATGTTT